TAATAATAATTAGAATACTCTGTGCTGGAAAACAACTAGTCATTTTAATAATTTAATATTATTTTATCAATTAACCTTGCATGTTACACACAAACTTTATAATAATAAACATAAAAAGGTTGTAACGACTACTTCCATTTTGAGAACATGTAATGTCCGTTACCTCCTGAACGCAGCACAAAGTCTGTGCTGCTAAAATGCTAACAACAACAAGCTAGCGTTCAAGAACTCATCCAGATTTTCCGGCTCTTGTCAAATAACTTCAAGTCTCAGTCAGAAAAGAGTTTGGGAACTTTATTAATGTGGGTGGGGGTGAGACCACTGGGTGGACTGAATCCATTTCTTTCCCTGCCTCCCAATGCAGCATACTTCAAATATGACGAACATTTAAAAAAAAAGTTCTGTAATTTATTTATCAAAACTCCGGTTTTACTTGGCCTATCAATACAACTTAAAAACCATTGTAAAGCCTGAAGTCTGTACTTTTGACACAATTTGGAACAGATTTTTAGAGAGAGCAAATCTTCCCCACTACAGTGATTTAAATCGGTCATGCAGGCTGGAGTCCAGGGGATTAAACGTCATATTAATCATTATCAGCTAAATACCACAATTATCATGAGATCTTTATTCCATTGTTTATTATATATATATATGTATATATATATTTTTACATGAAGGTGAATTTTATTATCAAATAAAAGTAGAATTATTACCACTTTTGTGCAGGTTAACAGCTCTTTACATGTCTTGCAGGAAGGAAGTAAAGGACCCTGATGTTCTGTACAATATGCTGAAGAACCTTCTGGCTCAAATAAAGGTTAGTCACCTGTAGATTTCTACACAAACTTAGGCCTAGACTGTTTTTATTTGTAATTCATAAAAAAAATGTATTAAAAACGGCACCATTTCTTGAAATGTTTATTTACATCTACATGCAAGTGTATGGTTTTTGTGTTGACTCAAAGCTGAGAGGGTAAACTTTTTTTGTTTATTTTAAAAAATTTAAAACATTCCTGTGCGGACAGGGCCTTAAACCTGACAAATATCTTTCTTCTGTCTCCTCCACAGACTCATCCTGATGCCTGGCCTTTCATGGAGCCSGTGAAGAAATCTGAAGCTCCTGATTACTACGAGATCATCCGCTTTCCCATCGGTGAGGAAGCAACTGTGAAAACTCACCGACCTGTTATCAGTTTCCGTTTGTGTGGCTGTTCGTCGTTTAATCGTTCATTTAATCCATTTCAACAGACTTGAAGACCATGACGGAAAGGCTCAAGAACCGGTACTACGTAACCAAGAAGCTTTTCATTGCGGACCTGCAGCGAATCATCAGCAACTGTCGCGAGTACAACCCTCCGGACAGCGAGTACTGCAAGTGTGCCAACACTCTGGAGAAGTTCTTCTACTTCAAGCTAAAAGATGGAGGCCTGATTGAGAAATGAGCAAGTAGAAGCAGATCACAAGGAAAATATTATAAGCTGTTGCCATCGGGTCAGTAACATTAAAAAAAAAAAAAAGTTGAGGCTTTGGAAAAGAAACAAATCAGAGCCAGCTGAGCATCACAAGTGTCGTTAAGACGCCCGTTTAAGCCATTTCCTGAGTTTTATTTGTTTAACTTGGTGAAAGAAGAACCTGCRATGTACATGCTTCACTGAAACAAACCAAAGTTACAGGAAAAAGTTATAAAACTGCTTCGCTATCCCCATATATTTATTCTATAACCGATCCCGTCGTGTCGTTTTGGACGATGGTTTATTCCCATTTTTAAGCGTAAATTGCGCCACAGGAGCCAGTTTATCCTTCGTTGTCCTCCAGGAAAATGAAGCGGACCTCGGGACCTAAAGCCACATTGCCTTCTGTTACTGACAGACCCTTGAACATCCCAGCTGAGCGTGAAGAGCGGTGAAGGCCAGAGCTGGACCGTACTCGGAGTCGATGGGTGAGAAACATTTAATTTGTGTGGAAGTATCAGATGAAAAACAGTTTTTTTATTTTATTTTTTTGGTTCGTTTGTAGATTTATTTGCACCGTTTGTCAAGAAAATGGGAAGCTTGTTTTGGTTTCGATGTCACTTTCAGCACCGTTTAATCCTGTGTGCCAAGCTAAACAAGCTGTTAGTCAACACAAACAAAAAAAACACATTTCTGTTTGCTTGAAGCATAAATTATTCATATAAAGTATAAAACTGTTGAAGCAACATTCCACTGGCTCTGTATTGTTCCAAATCACTTCAGAGAACGTCTCTAACTGTAGCTTGTTTTCTGCTTAACAGCATTAGTTTTTTATTGACACCTCTTTTTTTTTTTACACTTAATAGTTTTGTGTTGGTGAGAAGAAACAGACCAGTTGTATTTTGGATTTTAGTTTGTGGACAGACGTTATTTATCTTCAAACAGGTTGAAGTGGATGTGAATGCATGACAGTTTACATTTCTTTTACTTGTTATGTTCAATTTTTTTTTGACAAAGTGCTTCCTTAGATGCATCCACTTATTTCAGGGGAGTTATTTTGGAATGCCGATTGGTCCAGCTGAATGTTTCTTTGAATCTGTGCAAATTAATTTGTTTTATACTGTGTTTAAATGACAGAGTTTTGATTGAAGTGATGTCAGTGTTGCATTATTCAGGGTTATAAATAACAGATTTCACCCTAAATCCACCTATGCTGCATTTCAGATTTTTTTTGAAAGGCCAGATTGAGTGAAGCTTCTTGCTGTTGGGTTGAACTTCCTTCACTGTAATCCTGTTCATGAAAATAAAGATGTTTTTTTAATATATAAAGACGGCTCTTAAATAAGTCATTTATTCCAAGCCCTCAGGTTACTGACTCACTCATCTGTTTCACTGAAACTAACCTGAAGCTTTCAACTTGGAGTTGATCGTAAACTGACCAAATCATTTTCACTTTTGATTTAGTTTTCAATCTGGGAAAAATCAAACAAAAGCTCCGCCCCTTTTCTGAGGCGTGTCTCAGATGATCTCGTTTTGAGGCTGTCTCTTTAAATCCAAACAAGGCTCTTCACACCCCGCCCTTTCCAGCACCCAGAGCAGTCCATTCTACACTCACCGGCCACTTTATTAGGTACACCTGTCCAACTGCTCGTTAACACTTAATTTCTAATCAGCCAATCACATGGCGGCAACTCAGTGCATTTAGGCATGTAGACATGGTCAAGACAATCTCCTGCAGTTCAAACCGAGCATCAGTATGGGGAAGAAAGGTGATTTGAGTGCCTTTGAACGTGGCATGGTTGTTGGTGCCAGAAGGGCTGGTCTGAGTATTTCAGAAACTGCTGATCTACTGGGATTTTCACCCACAACCATCTCTAGGGTTTACAGAGAATGGTCCRAAAAAGAAAAAACATCCAGTGAGCGGCAGTCCTGTGGGCGGAAATGCCTTGTTGATGCCAGAGGTCAGAGGAGAATGGGCAGACTGGTTCGAGCTGATAGAAAGGCAACAGTGACTCAAATAACCACCCGTTACAACCGAGGTAGGCAGAAGAGCATCTCTGAACACACAACATGTCGAACTTTGAGGCAGATGGGCTTCAGCAGCAGAAGACCACACCGGGTGCCACTCCTTTCAGCTAAGAACAGGAAACTGAGGCTACAATTTGCACAAGCTCATCGAAATTGGACAAGAGAAGATTGGAAAAACGTTGCCTGGTCTGATGAGTCTCGATTTCTGCTGCGACATTCGGATGGTAGGGTCAGAATTTGGCGTCAACAACATGAAAGCATGGATCCATCCTGCCTTGTATCAACGGTTCAGGCTGGTGGTGGTGGTGTCATGGTGTGGGGAAACTTTTCTTGGCACTCTTTGGTCCCCTTGGTACCAATTGAGCATCGTTGCAACGCCACAGCCTACCTGAGTATTGTTGCTGACCATGTCCATCCCTGTATGACCACAATGTACCCAACATCTGATGGCTACTTTCAGCAGGATAATGCACCATGTCATAAAGCTGGAATCATCTCAGACTGGTTTCTTGAACATGACAATGAGTTCACTGTACTCAAATGGCCTCCACAGTCACCAGATCTCAATCCAATAGAGCATCTTTGGGATGTGGTGGAACGGGAGATTCGCATCATGGATGTGCAGCCGACAAATCTGCGGCAACTGTGTGATGCCATCATGTCAATATGGACCAAAATCTCTGAGGAATGCTTCCAGCACCTTGTTGAATCTATGCCACGAAGAATTGAGGCAGTTCTGAAGGCAAAAGGGGGTCCAACCCGTTACTAGCGTGGTGTACCTAATAAAGTGGCCGGTGAGTGTAGTTTGGTAGAGGGGTTTACGACTATACAGCTGCGCAGAAACGTTTTATTTGCAAATAAATTAAAAGATGTCAACAAGAGAGGACTTCGTCCAGCCTTACATGTTGGAGCCAGAGTCTGACCCAGAGCCAGAGGAGAGTGAAGACCACCAAACTGTAGTGGTAAGTCCAGATCTTATTTAGAAGTTCTGTTTCAAATAATTTGATGGAATAGTTAAGAAAACGTCATAGAAAATTAAACTGAACAGGTTGAAAAATGCGACCCCCCCAAAAAATAAAAGATTTCTACGCAGCACCAGGAGAGACTAAATTCAACTTGGTGACGGGATGCCAGCATACAGCACTTTAGTTACACCTGTTGTTTTTAAATGTTCTTTATAACCCGTCTACAATGTGCGTTTGTTAACATACTAAAACAGCCAAAGTGACAGAAAATATAAAGAAATTTTGTAACTGATTAATTGAATATTAGATTCAGTTTTGTATTTTATACTTTCTGATCATTTCAGTCTGTAAGGTTGAAGCTGACAAAGAGTTGGTGTGTGTTATCATGTGTTCTTTCTCTGAGCCTAAACCAAACTGAGTGACGTTCTGACGTCTGACATAAAAGRTAACACCTCTGGGGTGTAACCAGGAAGAGATGTACATTATAAGCTSAATTCATTAAAGTAGAAAGAAAGTTGTCATTGTGTTAGAGTCTCTGCTTCTGAGCAGAGTTGCGCTGCTGTGTTTGGGTTTTCCTGATATCAGCCCAAAGTCTGACTGAGGCCTGTGTGCTGAGTGCTGCATGAACCTGATTGGAGTCAGAGGACTGAAAATAAAGTTTTAAAGAAGAAACCCAGCTGAATCCTGTTTATTCGGACATACCATTTTGAACAACGCATATTTTTCCAACAAATAGATAAAATGCTAACCGTTGCATAGAGCCTTTTTAAAACTGCTACAAGCCTTACTTTGTTTTGGGATTAAAATATTTTAGTTTCTGTGTTGATTTCTTACTGTTTGAATCCCGAAACCCTGTTACACATTTCTATTGTAATATGTAAAATTGTAATGTCTTTGCAGGTTACATCAAATAACCAATACTTTAATTATAACTGGTTTATATACAGAAATATTCTGCTGAGATGACTCCATATCTAAAAAGAAAATGATCAACTTTAGTTTGTTTTGATTGAACCCATTTGTATTTACATTTCCAACAGTTGTTAAAGGTAACACAAAGTGGTTTGTCTTCTAAGCTTTTTRTTTCTGTAGCTCTGCTGCTCTTCASTTTCMTTTTCCTGATGTGAGAAATAAAACTGACAAAGCAAAACGCCCTTTTGTTTTGCACAGTTTTCCAGATGAGAACTGTGTGCAAAATTAACATCCAGAGGGAGAATAAAGAGGATTTGAATTTTTAAGGTTCTGTCTAAAACTGTTTGTGGACACTAGTGTAATTATTATTATTTTTTTAATGAATGCACAGCTTTTATTGTGGTTGCATAATAAAATGTATCATGAGCTACTGTGCAGGTTTTATTTGAACTTCCAGGAAGCATTAACTGAATGTACTTTTATAAACAATTAACTTTTGGATTAAACTCAATGACTGCCATATGAAGTTTACTGACAGCTAAATGTCTGTGTGGTAGTAGCTGAGAGTCATTCGCAGCATCTGAACACAATGCAAAACATTAATTGTGTCTGTTAGCAAAATATCTCCTGAATCGCTTGAAATACGTTAGTGACTCTAAAAGTAATGCTTGAAATGTTTCTATTTTTAATTCCAAAATATGTTCAGAAGTTTGAAAACATGAATTCTGACAGTTTTAGTTTTATTAGTATTCAAGAGCAGCATATTATATGTTTATTATTGCTGCAGAAGCTTAATTCGGTAAAATCTCGTAAAAACAATGACTTGTTGATGGAATCAGAAAKTATCAAGGAGCTAAATAATCAGAAATGGGGATTTTTTGGTTTTAAGTTTCGTTTTTCCTGCTKTAAGAACCGGAAGTGCCCAGTTAGGAAACCTTCAACACCTCAGGACGTTTTCAACACTCAAGTCACGTCAGATACAAAACAAAGATTACTTAAATAACTYGAATTACAACTGTTAAGTTAGCAAATGAGCAGTGTTATATTTGAAAAATGTTGTGAAACGGATTTTTTTGGGTCAATGTAGTTAAGGTTTTGCTTGTCGTTGCGTCCAAACGACAAAGCGTCGCTCCGTCGAGAACCCCCCTGTCAGGACCACAGGTCAGGGATCAGATGGTTTTTATTTTCGTTTTCTGACTTCAGCGTCACACAGCTGATCCGAAGCGAGTTTAAAGCCCTGCCAGCTGGACCAGGGAGCCGCAGTGAAGGAGGAACACTCCTCAGATCTTGATCAAGGCTGACTGGTAAGTTTAAAACTCGTATTTCCCCTTACAGAATTAACAGCAGCTCTCACAAAATGGTTGTTGTGTACAGTGTTACTAAATCTAATTCTTGTTTAGAATTGAGTGTGCATTTATATAAAAAAACAATTCTTAAACTTTATTATTATTAAACAGGTGAAAAGCACAGGATGGCAGATTTTGGGCTGTATAACTACCAGAAGGAGGTGATCCAAAGGGCTCTGCTGAGAGAAAACATCATTATTTGGCTGCCAACAGGAGGTGGGAAGACCAGAGCTGCTGTATATGTGGCCAAAAGGCATCTGGAGACCACCGAAAATGCTAAGGTGGTGGTCCTGGTCAACAAGGTACACATAAATTATCTTTATTAACAATACAGCAGGATAGAGGGGGTTAAAGATTTCTCTCGATTACAGTTTTGGCTGATTCAGATACATGACAACATACAGAAATATGATTAATTTTAATGAGGTACAGAGAGGAAGAAGGGGTCTGAGTGCTGCTTATTGTGGGAACTCTTCAGCATTCACACTATTGAGATATTTTTTTCTTCTTCCACAGGCTGAAGTTTTTTGGCACGTGTTTCATTTTGCAATTTTGTGCTATTTTAACAATTCATATATCAAAAATTTCAGCTGCATTCAGGACATTCTGGCTATGGCATTTGGTATTTCAGCTTGTTATACTTTTTCAGCTATTTCACATTTCGTGGYCACATTTTCCCCACTGAAAACGAATGGAGTTGTTTTCAGCGTCCTTAAAATCCTTCAAAATGTTTCCAAATCTTCACAGCACTACTCCTGGTTCTGCTTCTGCTTTTTTTAACTGCTAATTTTAGTCCCTTTTTAATCATTTTAGCTTTTTTTCTGCTATTTCAGACATGATTCTGATTCTTGCTGCTATTCTGCTGTTTTCTAACTTTTTTGTGCATCTTTCTGATAATTTGAGCAATTTCGGCTTCCTGCTATATTCAGCTATTTGGTGCAATTTCAGCTAATGCTCAGCTGTCATTAGCTAAAGTTAGCTTTTTTTAATTTAAATACATTACATACATTTTTGTAGCTATTGCAATTTATTTCTGCTCAGTTCAGCAAGCTTCTTTCTAATTTCAGCCTTTGGCTGCTATGTTTAGCTTATTTTTATGTAAATTTTAGATATTTTTCCCCAGATTTTTCAGCTATCATTCTCTGCTATTCTTCTGTTCCTGCATTTTTTTTGTGCTTTCCACTTTTCAATTTGAACTTTCATTAACAGTTTTGCTTTCAGCTRAAGTTTTCATCAATAAGCATTCACACTGGCATTTTTGCAGGAAATTCATATTTCTGTCATTCATTTTGTTTAACCTGTATTTATCCGAGAGTGCTGTGAGTAAACAGCAGTACAGATTGTTGCAACAATCAAATCAAGGGTTGGTGTATCTGTAGGTCCACCTCGTGAATCAGCATTTCGCCAACGAGTTCGAGCCTGCTCTGGGAAGCCAATACAGGCTTGTGAAGGTGAGCGGAGACAGCGACGAGAAGGATTTCTTCGGCAAAGTGATTCAGAGCAAAGACGTCATCATCTGCACAGCGCAGATCCTTTACAACGCCATGATCAACAAGGAGGAGTCGAAGCACACGGAGCTGTCAGGTCAGTCACCCAGAACCTCCGGATCGTCGCGTTGTGACGGTGAGGCGAAACTAACCCGCGATGCGTTCATGGTTTCTGACAGATATAACTCTGCTGATCATCGACGAGTGTCACCACACCCACAAGGAAGAGGTCTACAACAAAATAATGAGGATCTACGTGGAGAAAAAACTGAAAGGAGAGGGGCCGTTGCCACAGATCCTGGGTCTCACAGCGTCGCCCGGGACAGGCGGTGAAGAGTTMCTGGAAGGTGCTGTGAAGCACATCCTGCAGGTCAGCTGAAGCTGGGATTTAGGATTGAGATTTATTCATTGAAAAACCAGCTCAGTCCTTGGCTCTCTCTTTCAGATCTGCTCCAACTTGGACTCAGCCATAGTCTCAACTGAGAACCACAAAACTGAGCTGAAGAAGATGGTACCCAAACCCAGAAAGACCTTTGATATTGTGGAGAAACGGTTCGCTGTAAGCTAAATATGTTCTTTATAAGGCAGTGGGACACGGGGGGGGTCAATATTCAGAAACTCGGTTTGACCCAAGGGTCAAATTCTATCAATATTTATCGAACAAATTTTTATAGAAATAAAAATGACCTTTAGAAACGTGGTTTTAAAAAGTAAAACATCACTAAAAATCTCTTTATTTGACTTTAAAAGAAAAAAAATCAGAAAAACTCAGTTCAATTCAAAAATACTTTATTGATCCCTGTCGTCGCAAAAAGCAGAAACACGTTGGAATAATGCCAGAAAAGTCTGCGTGTATGTTCGTAAATAAATGATTTAATTCTGAGCAACAAACAAACAGGACCCAATCAAGGAAGTACCATTGGCTCGCTGCTGACACGTCAGCGGACACAGCCAATAATATACACCATGATAACATCATATGACGTGCTTATAACCAATCACAGATCGCCCCATGWACTCTCCAGCCTATCACAGGGCTCCCAGCACAAAGAGTGTCTTRTCAAACAAGAGAGKTCAGTCCGTTGCGGAGTCCTGTTGTCTGGACAAACAGATTAACATTGAACATGTGACACAGATAGATAATTAGTCCATTACAATCCCAAAAGGAGATTACAGTTTGGAACAATGGGAGAGTGTGRCGAAGCGAAGATTTGGTGCAATCTGCTGGCTTCTTTAGATTTATTGTTTTTATTTTTTTTGTGTACAGTGCCCTGAGACAACAGTTGTTGTGACTTGGCGCTATATAAATAAACTGAATTGAATTGAACAACCCATTCAAAAAAAAGAATCACAAACATGGGAGAACAGGTGCCTCGGGTGTTGCAGCCATGAAGAGGGGCTATCCTTGCATTAGAAAAAGGAAATGGCAAAAGAAAACTAAAATAGATTCTCTGTTGTTTTCCCACGCTAACATCAAAGACTACAGAAAAACTGAAAAAAGAAACAGAAAAATCTTGGTTTGAAAATGGTCCAGCTGTTATCAGAAGAATTTAAAGTATCACCTTCTGGGCCGAATAAAGTGTGAAGGAGGGCCAGGACTGGGCCAGCGGGCCTTTAGTTTGACACACGTGGTGTAACCTGACAGTGCTCACAGTGACATCCTTATTTTATGTTTTGTTCTGTTAGGATCCATTTGGAGATCAYCTGAAGTGGATGATGCATCAGATCCACGAGTTCATGAACCTTCCTTCTGACGTCAGGCTGAGAGAGTGCGGCACGCAGGAGTACGAGGCCGACGTGGTGGAGCTGGAGAAGAGAGGCACGGATGTTTCCGCTGTTTATTTGAGTGATGAGTTTATGTGAAAATTAGGGCTGTCAAATGGTTTAAATTTTAATCTATTAATTCCAAGGTAGCTGTAAATTAATCCTGCTTAATCACGATTAATCTTAAACTTAATGTAAAACTTTATTGCATATTGGTAAAATAAATTACTTGAGTTATTAATGTTTTTATTTAGAAAAAAATGGTGCTTAGACCTGATTTTTTTTAAATACAAAACAGGACCTAAACATATTTGACTCAGTGAAATTTTGTGCAGAAAAATGAGGTTAAATCAAGAATTCAAGGATTTTCATTCCAAATGAGTACTACATGTGGAATTAAAGATAGATACTAAGGTCACAGTTGTCAGCAAAACATAAATAAATAAAATAAAATAATCCATAAGAAGACTAAAAGAAAAAAAACTGTACATAATGTGTTACAATAGAATTTATTTAAATTTATTTTATTTATTTAACCTTTTATTTATCCAGGTAAACTGTTTGAGAACCACTTCTCATTTACAAACATGACCTGGCATGAGTGCATCACAATATACAAACCTACATATTCAGCCACATTAAAGTGATTGTAAATTTTAATCATGATTAAAAATTTTTATCTCTGCCCATGCAGCCCTAAAATTAATCAGAGTTAACTCGATTAATTTCACAGCCCTAGTAAAAATCTACAGATATTGACGTAAAATTTGGTGATTTGGTATGATCCCACGAGGATCTTCGCCTAAAACTCGGGCACAAATTGCGACGAGCGAAATGCATTCTGTAAAAGAAATCTCTCGTTTTCTAATCGTATCAACATTCACTTTTTGTCATGTTTTCTATTAATTTTACCGTTGAGATGATAACTTTTTAAAGAAAGTTAACCCTCTTGTTTTGTGTGTGTCTGCTGGAGCAGGAGTTCGAGACAAGAACAGAGTTGTGTCTCAGTGCGCGCGTCATCTCAGACAGTACAGCGATGCCTTGCTCATCAACGACACGCTTCGAATGCAGGATGCTTTTCACTCCCTGGAGGACTTCTACAACTCAGAGCTCTCCTCAGCCATCGACGGAACGGACATCTTCCTCGTGGGGCTTTTCGAAGGTGGGATTTAGTTTGTGTTTGACCTTGGCGTTACTGTTTTTCTTTAGACGTGACATTCTAACAGTGTTTGTTGCACAGAGAACCAGGTGGAGCTGAACGATCTGGCCACAAACCCCTGCTTTGAGAATCCAAAAATGGCCAAGCTTGAGGAGGTTCTTTTAAACCAGTTCGGTTCTGGCGTCCCGTCTAAGGGAATCCTTTTCAGTAAAACRCGCAAAAGCACCCGCTGTCTCAACGACTGGGTCCGCCAGAACCGGGCCCTGCAGAGAGCTGGCATCAAACCAGCCATCCTCACTGGGGCGGGCAACGGCATCGATTACATGACGCAGGTTTGTGGGCGGAGTCTTGTAAAAGGTGTCCCTGCTTCAGGTGACGCCTCCACGGTTGTTTTTTTGTCCGCTCCCKATCTTTCACGTAACTGTATTTTCTACCGTCCTGTTCAGAACGAGCAGGCCGACACGATCCGCAACTTCCGCAGGGATAAGCTCAACCTCCTGATCTCCACCAGCGTGGCGGAGGAAGGCCTCGACATTCCCGAGTGCAACCTGGTGGTCCGTTACGGGCTCCTCACCAATGAGATTGCCCAGCAGCAGGCCAGCGGGCGCGCCCGAGCCAGAGGCAGCCARTACTCGGTGGTCGCTCAGGAAGGAGGGCGGGAGGTCCACAGAGAGCACCACAACGAGGCCCTGGAGGAGCTGACCGCACAAGCCATCGCTAAGGTCCAGCGTATGAGCGCGCCAGAGTTTCGCAGAGAGGTGGGCTGGGGGCGCTCTGCGCTGCTCGCTCATTACAGTTCTCACTGCTCGTTATCCCTGACTTCACTCACCTCTGTGTTCAGATCACACGCCTTCAAACCGAGACCATCCTTTCCAACAAGCTTTCAGAGGAACGTAAAATGGAGAAGAGGAACCGCTACCCTGCGTCCGGCGTCCAGCTGCTGTGTAGAAACTGCTTCAGAGAGGTGGCTTCAGCGAGTGACATCAGACTTCTTGAAAATGCACACTTTGTCAACGTMAACTCTGATTTTAAGTGAGTTGATCTCTGCCTCCTTCAGGAAGTTCACTCCTCGCATCTTAGGCTACRTTCACACTGCAGGTCTTAAAGGCACRGTGTGTAGGATTTGTTGTTTTCAGTCACATCTAGTGGTTGAGTCGTTGAATCATCCTCCCTGGTCCTCCCCCCACCCCCACCCCC